TTTTTTTTTTTTTTTTTTTTTTTTTTTTTTTTTTTTTTTTTTTTTTTTTTTTTTTTTTTTTTTTTTTTTGTTCTGTTGTCTTTTTGGAATCTTTTTGATTTGTGAGGAATCGGTGGCCTTTTGATGCGCATTTGCAACCAGTGGCTGTTCTTTGACAATTTACGTGTTTGTTATACAAATTTTATAGTACTGGAGCTGAGATCTTGTGTTTCGTCGAAAGTCGCCTGTAATTTTCCCGATTCAATTTGAATTTTTCTAGCATCGTTTCCATTGCCAATTTTTTACATGTGTTCTGCATGACTGGACTTCTGAAGAAATTTCTATTAAGGATCTAGATTAATTTCCTTGTTCTGTTAATAAGATATGTGGAAAGTTGATGAACTGAGGATCGATTGTTTGCTTACTAGTTAATATAATTTTTAGATTAAAATCGTGCAGCTTACAGTTCTTCCTCGTGTATAAAATTCAACGTTTTTGGCCGTTTTCTGTTTATTTAAGATTTAGACAAAGTTAGAAGTTAGATGGATTTCTAAAGTAGATGTATTATTAGGTGGCAAATATTTTTATATGAACTCTGGGCTTTAAATTACAAGGTGGATTGTCTGTCTTATGCTTACAGCTTACTGACCGTTCAATGTGCATAGCACAGTTGTGCTTTGAATTCTATGTTATATTTTGCTCATCTGTGTCAATTTGTGTGTCTTTCAGTAACTACAAAAGATGGCCGATGCTGAGGATATCCAGCCACTTGTCTGTGACAATGGAACTGGAATGGTGAAGGTTAGATTACTGACCTTAAAATGCAGCTGCAGCTGTTTTTCTTGTTGTAGATCTACCTACCTACGTGCTCAACAATTATTACTGTTTTTCTCAGTATGGTCTTCTTTTGTCTTCACTTTGTTAATTGGCCTGAAGTTTTAAAATTTTATTTTTAGGCTGGATTTGCTGGTGATGATGCTCCTAGGGCAGTGTTTCCCAGCATTGTTGGTCGACCCCGACACACTGGTGTCATGGTAGGTATGGGCCAGAAGGATGCTTATGTCGGTGATGAGGCCCAATCCAAAAGAGGTATTCTCACCTTGAAATATCCCATTGAGCATGGTATTGTGAGCAACTGGGATGATATGGAAAAGATTTGGCATCACACATTCTACAATGAGCTTCGTGTTGCACCTGAAGAACACCCTGTGCTTCTTACTGAAGCACCTCTCAATCCCAAAGCTAACAGAGAAAAGATGACACAAATCATGTTTGAAACTTTTAATGTACCTGCTATGTATGTTGCTATCCAGGCCGTTCTATCTCTGTATGCCAGTGGTCGTACAACAGGTTCACATCCATCTTCTCCTTCTGTCTTAAAGTTTGGACTCTTGGACTTTGATTTGGATAGTATTTTTAATGCATTCTTTGAACAGGTATTGTGCTGGACTCTGGTGATGGTGTTAGTCACACTGTGCCAATCTACGAGGGTTATGCTCTACCCCATGCTATCCTCCGTCTGGACCTTGCTGGTCGTGATCTAACTGATGCCTTGATGAAGATTCTCACTGAGAGAGGGTACATGTTCACAACCACTGCTGAACGGGAAATTGTCCGTGACATGAAAGAAAAGCTTGCTTATGTTGCACTCGACTATGAGCAGGAACTCGAGACTGCTAAGAGTAGCTCCTCAATTGAGAAGAACTACGAACTGCCTGATGGGCAAGTCATCACAATCGGAGCTGAGAGATTCCGTTGCCCTGAAGTTCTTTTCCAGCCATCTCTCATTGGAATGGAAGCTGCTGGAATCCATGAGACTACCTACAACTCAATCATGAAGTGTGATGTGGATATCAGAAAAGATTTGTATGGTAACATTGTTCTCAGTGGTGGTTCTACCATGTTCCCTGGTATTGCAGACCGAATGAGCAAAGAGATCACAGCTCTTGCTCCAAGCAGCATGAAAATTAAGGTCGTTGCACCTCCTGAAAGGAAATACAGTGTCTGGATTGGAGGGTCAATCCTTGCATCGCTCAGCACCTTCCAGCAGGTGAAATACTCCCTACATTCACTCTTAACCTCTCATTTATTCCCATTTCTAGCTATATAGTTTCACACTGATTAATGTAAATACTTCATTTTTGCCTACCAGATGTGGATTTCGAAGGGTGAGTATGATGAATCTGGTCCATCCATCGTCCACAGGAAGTGCTTCTAAGTTCAATATGTGCTTGAATGGTGAGTTATTTCCTTTAGTTGGTTTTTTGTGTCATGTGTAATGTGAACTCTTTCGGTTGAGCACGGATATGGGTCATGGAAGGAGGGTATATGTCAGTCAGTTCCTATGCCACTGCTTTCCCAACCGCTGGGAGTTTGAGGTTCGTAATTCTACTGCGTTTTGGAGAGTGAATAAGTAATTGACCCTCTGGATGTTTGTGTTGGTGGTGGCCAAAAAGACTTTCCTTCCTAAATCTCAACCTGCCTTGCCTTTGTCAAATCTGTGATGCAACCATGTCTTTTATTAGTAGGAGAGATTATTGTGATGCTTTCTTTTTTGGCTTTAAATTCTCTACCCTCCTTTTCTCCTATTCTCTGTTCCAAGTTCTTTGTTTTTTTCGGGAACATTAATGTTAATAGTTATTGTATGACAAATATTAGTCAGCCTTTGCGGTCATAAACTTGCATGGAAAATGATATTTTATTATTGGCTTGAATGCTTTATAAGACATCATATTCTTACTTACATTGCTTCTTCTCATCCTTTAGTTGTATCTAGTTCTATTCATTTCTCCAATCGTGCTTCATAAACCTAGATTATTGGAGCCTAATATGAGCCAACAATGTTCAGTAGGTGAAGCCAAATTTTCACCCAAATGTCGACATTTCCATAGATTGGAGGTTCAATTGAGAAATATTAAACTAGATTACTTACACTTCCGGAAGGGTTCCATGAATGTCTTAGTATGATAATTCTTCTGAATTATGTCTTCATGATTTGTTTTTTGACATCAATATTTTTAGCCTACTTTTGAAACTTTCATTTTGTTGTTGGCATCGCTGGTTTAATGTCTGACTCTTTTTTAAAAGAAAAGAAAAAGTTCGTCGTGAGGCGCTCTATCATGGTGTGGACCCTTGCCTGTCTAGCGATGTGTGGGCGTGTAACAGGTTGGTCTTGAGTTATTATTAAGAGTGATTGATATATAATTGTTGACTTTTGATTGCAGATGAGATGCATAATTTGATGGTTGACAACTATAATTCATTAACACAATTGGATCAACTAGTTTCTTGATTGTTTGCACTGCATAACTTTTTTTTGTTGGTTTGAGTTAAATAATCCTTTGGTCTTATTTTGTCAAAGAATTTAAGGGTTTGTGTTAAGTGACAGGAATAAATTGTAACAACCAGTAGTTAGATGGTAGTAAAAAAGTTCATTTACAACATTTTGTAAATTATGTTATAGACTAAACGTTTGTTTACAAACTATTTTCAAATAAAGGTAATCATCTAGGAAATAATGGAAATAAAGTAATAAAAAACTGTTTAGTATAAATATAACTATCCAACTTCAATCCCATGACCTCCATTGTTAAGCTGGATGTTTTACCTTTATCTTAAAAAATAACATGTGGTTTGAATATTATGTACTCTCTTGCCTTTTAGGGTGTTTTGAATATTATGTACTCTCTTGCCTTTTAGGTGGCAATTATCATACGTGCAATCAAGTGTCTTGTTGAGAAATAAAGCATGTGTGGAGTGTATTACGTACTCTGTGCCTTGCCCTTCAGCTATTGTAATGAATAAGTATCATGACGTGTATAGATATTGTAATGTATGTGTACATACTTGTCAAAATGGAGAAGTATTTCGATGCATATGACATATAAAAAAATGCATGACATTCCCATAGCCTTAAATTATGATATAAACATATGATGCAAGTCATATGTTCTTTCTTAAAGGTAACTTTCATGAATACATTCTACTAAACCTATTCTGCGTATTATATCATATAGAGGTATTATGGATCATACGACATGGAAGTCACATTAAGGTCCATAACATACTGGAAGGGGCTACAACACATGCCATTGATACTTCATTCAATTCATCCAACCAAACCAATAATAACAATAGTTAGTCTAAGCTAAAATCATTATGCTCTCTTATCATAAGTTAAAAAGTGAAAATTTGCTCACCTAATTAACATAAAATAATCTAATCATAACTCCAAATAATTTAAATTAAAATTAGCTTAAGAAAAAAAAAATCAAAATGCCTACCATATGGCATCATATTTCTTTTTCAAATTTCAAGGAAAATAAAAAGATAAATACTGTAATCTTCCCAATTAGTTTGAATAGATATTATTATTATTATTACTATTTTATATTTCCAAGCAACCCATATGGGGCTTGAGATGCTACAATGATCACAGAGAAGGGGAGATATATATTACAGTCTCTTTCCCCTTTCCCTTTCCCTTTTCCCTCGCCACTCTCTGAATGGTCACATTAACCATTTCTCTTTTCTTGCTTCATCATCTCTATGAAATCTCCAAAAACTGCAACCAAACAATGTTGGTTTTGTGAGTCGCAATACATTCAAACATCAACTTACATGGCTGCACACAGAGTTGCAAGTTCCTTCCATGTTTTAGAATAATGCACAATCCCTATCAACATTTGTCTAACAGCTTTGGTCTCTCAATTTCTACTTATTTCTACTCATTTGTTAACAGCTTTAATCTCTAATATAATCATAATATAGTGAGAATCTAATAGACATAGAATCAGAAGTTCACAAACTAAAATACGAAACAGATATTATTCAGGGACCAAAATAATATAATGTTCTTTACCAGAGTCGGAATCGTGAGGCCCGGGAGATGCTTCAGGATGGTATTGAAGAGACATAATTTTTAGCTTTGGGTAAGCAAGACCAGCACAGCTTCCATCATTAAGATTGACGTGGGTTACTTCAACACCCTCTGGGAGGGATGCAGGATCCACTGCGTAGTTGTGATTCTGCCACGAACAACACGTAAGTGAATGCAAACACAACGAAGTCTAGAAAATAAGATAGAACACAGACAGTAGATTTGAAATCGATAAATTTTGACATAGGCACACCTGAGCACTAATTTCTACACGGTCGTTCCGAAAGTTGCGAACGGGATGATTTCCTCCATGATGACCAAATTTCATTTTGAAGGTCTTACCACCCAAGGCCTGGCCAAGCAATTGATGGCCCATACAAATTCCAAAAACAGGTACCTTCCCAACTAGTTGCTTGACTGTTTCAACAGCATAAGGAACTGCAGATGGATCGCCCGGACCGTTGCTGAAAAGAACCCCATCTGGCTCTAACTTAAGGGTCTCTGATGCCGCCCATGTGGACGGGACAACAGTGATTTTGCATCCATAAGATGCCAAGCGCCTAAGTATGTTACTCTTGATTCCAAAATCATAGGCCACAACCTTTTTCAACACAAAATATCAATGTAAAGGTGCATTGCCAAATTACAAATTTCGAATGTGTATTAGTAATTGTAATATCATTATCATCTTAAGAACGTTCTTGCAGCACACTCACATGGAAGGTCTCTGAAGCTTGTCCACCAGATTTGAATTCCCATTCCAAATCAGTTCTATCCACCCATTCATAAGGAGATTTGCATGAAACACCACTAATTAAGTCAACACCTGCCAAAGAAAAGCAAAAATATTAATCACACAGGCTCCAGCATTTTATGAATATTACAAATTGCGTTGTTGCATCCAATTCTTACCAACAATGTTCCATGACCGAGACATTTCCAATAGCTCATCATCAGATTTCGACTTTTCAGTGCTTAAAACACCAATAAGACTTCCATCTTCCCTTAACCGACGAGTAATAGCACGAGTGTCAACATCATCTGCTCCATGATGAAACAAACCCACGGTTTTATAGATTAGAGAAGGCAAAAAAAAAAAAAGCAGCATTCAAAAATTTAAATGTTTCTACATATTGTCATCAGAACAATCTTAATATAAATTGACTTACAAATTCCCATGATGTTTCTCTCAATTAAATAATCACCAAGCGTTTGTTTACACCTCCAATTTGAAGTGCTGGAAGAAAATTAAGTGAAACAACCGAACCATGATTTACACTAATTGAATGTTTAAATAATTTTGTTAAACAGAGTAGAAGAAGGAAATGCACCTGATGCTTAGGCTTCTGATCACCAGGCCAGCGAGGAAGCATTGCCTGGCTTCTTCATCATCTAATTGGAAAAGGTGTTTGAAAGTCAATATTATCAAACAGTTCTCCAGACAAGGCAACGTAAGGACTTCGAGAGCATAACCTACCGAAATTGACACCAGTATTGCCGATATGGGGATTGGTCATCAGGACAAACTGCCCATTATAGCTTGGATCTGTTAGAATTTCTTGATACCTGCAGATTCATTGTGTAAGGAAGCATCAACAAACAACTAGAAGATATTGTCCGCTTTGGTCCGTTACATATCGCCGTTAGTCTCACGGTTTTAAAACGCACATGCTAGGGAGAGGTTTCCACACTCTTATAAAAAATGTTTCGGTCTCTTCCCTAACGGATGTGGGATCTCACACTTATATCATTCCTCATTCAAACATAACTCAATTTTAATCGTTAAGATGCCATTACAATCCTACCCTTGTCAATAGCCAGTGATTAAATAGGTCTAAGTCAATCTTTAAGCTTTGAATGAAGATTGCAATATCCACTTTAGAGAAACACCAGTACCTTCTATCTCAAAATTCAATTTGGATTGTTAACAATTTAAATGATATCATCCGAGCTGATATGAGTGGACATGAAGCATCATTACTCCCTACCATGGTTTAGGATAAAACTTAAAATCAGTAAACAGAACCCCAACATACTTACCCAGTCAAAGAAGTATTGAAAACCACTTCACCAACTTGGGTTCCGGAAGCGCCAAAAGACTTAGCCCTCCAGATTGAACCATCTTCAAGCACCAACCGAGCATCCGACACCTTCCATGGCCTCTCTCCCAAATCTTACAACAAACAACAAAATCATAATCATTCAAACAGTAATTCAAAAATGTAAACATTCACAAGAATTGAACTCCACCCCCTACCAATGGTGGCAGCGCCATGGGAAGAGAGAGGAACAGAACATCTGATAGTGAAATCCCTAGATTTCACAAAGCCTTTATTGTTTTTGAAATGAAAACAATTGAGCGAGGCTCCGGACACTAAGTCCATAACTCTGATTGCCATTGATGAATTGGGTGCTTCGAAGTGGTGGTCGCCTCCTGAGGAAAAAGAAGCGGAGAATACAAAGAAACATTGAAATCCAAAAGAAAATCAAACGCAAATTCTGGTTGGAAAACAAAGTTCCGCTAAACAACATACATACACATCACCATCACAACGCACTAAGAAATGGAAAAGTTAGCTTATCAAAATAGCGAAAAGAAAAAGAAGCACTGAGCATTCCCAAGAGACAGAGATTACACCTCAAATGGCGTCGACTTCTGATGCTTCACCCTGATTCTGGTTTTGGTTGCTGCTTCGTGTTCGGTGTTTAACGGGTTTTTACTACCGTTTTAGGGTTCTTTTGGAGACGGGATTATTCAAATTGCTGAGGGTACTTTCGTCATTTCACAGAGTTTATCTTGGTTTCTTTTTTTTTTTTTAAATTAAAAGAAGATGCTTTTTTATTTTTAAAAATTATTTTTATTTTATTCGGTAATTGAACTGCTGACGTGGACATCGAAAGTTGATTGTGATTCTGAGGGCATTTTCGTCATAGTGTTAAATTGTGTTGTCGTTTTGTTAATAAAGTAATGGTGCTTCACGGTTTCCAAAGGCCGCGACCCTATACCCAAATGGGAGTTTTTCATAATAATATATAATAATATAATATATAATATATAATATTGATTTTTCAATTACTTTCAATTTTTTAAATTCTCAATTTTAATTTCATTGAATTAAAAGCTTTCAATTTGTTATTAACTTTTGCTCATAAAAATTAATATATGAAATTTAAAATTTAAAATTAGGGGTTAATAAAATGAAAATTCCTCAAATTTTTATGCTTCTTATACTTTTGACTCGACTCTCTGACTTGAGCATCAAAGTGTGTGTCGTCCACAAATTTTTATGCTTGCTCAACTTTTGACTCTTGATTTGAGCATACAAGTATATGTGGCATGCACGTGCACGTCACTTCTTTCTCTTCAAAATATAAGTTCATTGCTGAATCACATACAAATTAGGTGTGTTCCCTTGCTCCAATTTTTGCATTTAGTAGTTGGCACCGTCTATGAAAATCAAGGACGAGAAGGGAGGTGTAACAACCCAACTTTTTAAAACGTGACTTGGTCACTACGAGATAAGGTTCATGATACGAGATAATATCAAGTTTTATGAAAACATCAAGGAGGACCAGATCGTCACTCTCCGTCATGGTCATATCGCCAAGTTTTCTAAATTTCATTTCTCATGGACACACACATGCATGAGGTTTCATCAAGTTAAGATGCGTAATACGACATGTGATAAAATTCGTTTTGAACATTATCTTTTCGGTTCAATAACTATCATTCATGCTCATCCAACTCGAAGAATTTCATACAAATGTGACCATATTGTCACTTTAATATTAGGACAATTTTGCCACTTTTTTGCATTCCCTAATTGTCATAGCTCGTAAACACATATATATGCATGGAGTTCCATAAAAAAAAAATATATATAATAAAACTTGTGACATATCGCCATGACTATTCATGATATATTTTCATTTCTTCCGTGACCGGCCTTTCTATCGACATGGCTAGTATCATGTCACCATATTAACATTACCATTCTACTAACATCTCACGATCATGCCTCATAATCTGTTCATCACTATATTTACTATTAACGTACATTCATACATACAATGACTAGTCATTTGATCAAGCTTATAGCGTCCAAGAGTTAGTTCACTTATCTAAATTGCAATGTATTTCCACAAAGATTTTGCTCCGAAGCTATTTGAGCACCTCGCGTACTCCAATGGCCACGGTTAGAAAAACATTCATGATCCTTCCATTAACATTATTTCACATTTAAGAATACTTTATGATACGAAATAAGATGTCTTAATCATACCACAAATACTTTTTTTGGTGGATGATACGAAATAAAAACCAAGGTTACTATTGCAACGGTGAATAGTCTTTAATATTAAAGTAATAACGAGTATATATGGATAATGTTGTGTGTTTTATTCTGGTAACTCTATTGCTATGATCACTTTGTACTAGTTATAAATGATTTGATCCAAATCGTTCATACACATAGACACAACAAAAGCGTTGGACCTTTGTTTTATTTTATTAAGAATTAATAAACATTATCTGTGTAGAAATCGTAGCCGACAAGTATTTTAGATATATTCCAACGATATAGAACTTTCTCGGCAAGATGTGGAGCTTCTTCCACAAGATCTTCTTGTCTATGATTCGAGCACACGTGGAGTCTTCTGAAATAAAATTCTTCGAGAATTTGAAAAAGAGAGATCTAAAAAATTCTCCTCTATCTCGAGAGGAGAAAGGAATTTCATTCATTAACAATAAATTACTCAATTATAGACTCAACGTTGCACTCTTATGCATTCTAGGACAAGCTGTATCCATGTATATAATCATTACAAGCAAGTTGATCTATTACAAATTGTTGGTAGATATAGTTGGGTCAAAGTCTATTTTACTCCTGTAATTACATCTTATACCATAAGTTCGATTGGTCTTCTATGTAGAACTTTTCACCCTTCAGTAAAATTGTTCGGAAAAACGGGTGAAGAAGACGAAGTCGGATTCGGGTCGAAACAACCCGTAACCCATACTCGCAGTCAGCCCGTTTCCTTGTAGCAATCGCGCCTCGGCCCAGCCCACTTCCCTCAGCCCAATCCAGAACTCGAATACCTGTAACCTGATTGACGCCGACCCAGCCCAGCCCAGACGCCTATGACCCGTGACCCGCATTCGACAACCCATACAACCAACCCGATCCTCCTACAGCCTAGTTTCCTGCAGCCCACAAACAGCTCCAACCAGTCCAATACCTGCAGCCCAATCCACTCCAGCCCAGAGCCTGCGACCCAGACCCGTGACCCGTGACTGTAGCGCGCGACCCGCGCCTCGACCCGAAACTTATCTGTATACTCGTCGCCTCCTGATTGTGCCACGTGGCAAATTTACAGCACAACAACTCCTCGGCTCCTGATGGCTTAAACGGCTCGGGAATCCCTTTTTAGACTAAATTGCAACGTTCCGACCCTCCCGCACCTTTTTTTTTTTTTTTAACCCGATTAAGGTAAATAAAATCGTTTTAGTACGGTATTTCACAGTTATGTATGCGACCATTAATAGACTAAATTAAGTGTAGGTGTAAAATAACTAAAATGTTCTTATAATTATGTACGGTTGGCTTATAATTAGAGTGACCTCTAAAAGACATGAAATTTGATGAGGGACCTTTAAAGAGATTCTACAAAGTTACTAGAACATTGGAATATGTTGAGGATTTCAATCAAGATTTAGGGGTAAAGAACCAAAATATGAGACTTATTTGTGATATTAAAGGGATTAGGACCACTCTGGAATATGAACAAAAGTAGGTAACTAGCCCTCAAGACAATTTATAAGAAATCAAGGTTATTAGGAAATCAAGGAAATATTTATGCATGCAAAGGAATGTTTATGACTCGTATGGATTAGGGTGTATCGGTTAAGAATTTTTTTTAGTTGTGCTTCAAGACTTAACAAATAACTCTTAGAACACGAACTTGAGATATCCTAAAAACCTCCCAATGAGTAGTGCAACATGGTTTTATGACATAAACTACGTCACACGGAACACATAAAGCCCTGGATATAGGTACTTAGATTATGTTGCAAACAACACATGAAGCCTTGGACATAGGCATGCAGATTGTGTCGCACAGAACACATGAAACCTTGGGTGCAAGTATTAGACTATGTCGTGAAGAACACATGAAACTAGGTCAAAATTGAGTTGTTCATTGAGCATAGGACCCCCTACGTCACTCAGGGGGAGTGTCCAAGAAATAAGAATTCAAAACTTTGGACCAAGATCTTCACTATAAAACTAGGTACCAAAAGTGGTTAAACCTATAAAAAAAATTGTTAAAATAAGAAAGACTCAATTAAGTATTCGAGGTTTTTTAGCATTAGTATTGACACATTTTCATTTTCTATTGGGCACAGTAGCTTTGATAAGAGGATATGATCCGACTATGCAGCTGTTTATTGAATATAAATAACTGATCACGCATGTTTGAAGGTGACCTTGATGAATGACATTCAGATGAAACCGCAAGCTAAGTCCATACTTCATCGGATCTTGAAACCGCAAGCTAAGTCCATACTTCATCGGATCTTTCAACATTCTAGATTGGATCAGACCAATGACATATAAATCAACCCTACCACAACCCCTCTTTGCAGTATATATCATAGGTTACATATCCATGTTTCGCAAATACTTGACTGACTTGATGTACACTCTAGAACCTTTCCACATAGACAAGGACCTGAGTTATTCCAAGATTAAAATACTTTTGGAGAAGAAAGTTTAAAATAATGTTGGCATTTTTTTCTTAATTTAATAATTACTATCAAACACAAAAACAATGAAAACATGGAACACAACTTTATTTTTAAGGAATAAGAATTACACACGAGTTAGATATGGAAAGTGAAGACAACTTTGAAATGTTAGAGGTCAAGAAATATAGATACTGTAACTTAAAATAACTTCATCAAAGTCTTCCCTGCAAGACTAACGATAGAAAATGAGATCTTTCTTAAAAATAGTAGGTATGTACATATGTACGTATTCTAAGATGCTACTCATGCAAAGTCTCTAACGTTCGCATGAAGTCTAACACATGGACCATTAAGTTTGAAATTGATGTATCACATAGAATGACTTGAATTTCATAGGAAAAAATCGAACTTTCGTTAAGGACAAATTGATGACCCCAACCTAAGCTAATCAGGTAATAATCAGGTAAGTGGCCCTACTATTGGCTCAGTTGGAAGAATTGCCTTATGTATGATGATACGTGCCTAGTGGCCCCTACAAGTGTCATGTGTTTGATATGATTTATTATGATGATATGATATGTTATGTTATGATGATAGGTTACGTTATGATGATATGATATGTTATGGTGCTATGCTATGTTATGATGATAACATGAATATGTTTGACAATGAAATGTATGACATGCTACGACATGTACAACAATGAAGAGCTTTTGATGCACAACCCCCCAAGTAATGTTATGAATGATGTAACGTGTGAAAGTTTATGCATGCATGCTACCTAGGGTAACATGTGAGAAATGTATGAGGTTGTGCCGCATGAATGGTTAGATGAAAAGTATAGGGACCTCATGCATACTCTATGTTCACATGCATCAAGATACTTTTCCTTTTATGATGAGTACTGGTGCGTACACTATGATGATGAGATAACCATCATGCTTGACATGAAGCATGACAGTCGTTGTACCTCTAAACATCCGA